GAAGGAAACGTGGGGTGAGAAAAAAAAATATATATGTGGATGGAAGAACATCGAAGTATCACAAGATTGCTTTATCGCCCGTTCTATTGTCCCTCCTCTTCTCCATTTCGTTTGAATATAGTTTGTAAACTGTGCGCCAAATAATTCTTGCCGTCTTGTGACCCGGGCAGCGTTATAACGGGAACGGCACGAATTATTTGGCCGAGACTTACAATATCCTTTCTTCCCCTTAAATAATTCTACAGAAGTGATTTCTTTTCCGTTCGTCGAACGCATTTCCTGCCATGTAAAGTATCTTTTTCTCTGTTTGCTTCCTTTCATACAGATTTACACACGCATTCCGTTCATACTTGTCTCTCTTTCTCTCTCTTTCTCTCTCTTTCTCTCTCTCTCTCTCTCTCTCTTTCTCTCTCTCTCTCTCTCTCTTTCTCGCGCGCTTTCTCGATCAATCCGAGCGATCCTGCTGCCCGATAACGTAACGATCTCGTGCGACGCAGTAATGATGAACCCCGGCTACGAAACTAAATAAAATACTACGGGTCTTCTTGTAAAAGCACGATATAAATAAATGCTGAAGCATTATGTACAGTGATCTCGGTTTAAGTAAAAGCCGCTAGCTCGGTTAATGGCCGCGCGTCGCTAACAAGCTTGCGTTCTTTAATCTCGGTTTTTAATTTCACGACGGTGCACGGGTTTATGGTGAAGGACGACAAGCAGTTTTCGTCGAAATTTCCGTCATTTTTTTTAGAGGTATCATGAAATTATCGGTTCGAGGGAGTAAAGAGAAAACCGGAGTTATGGTGAAAAGAAACTGATAACGTTGGGAATCAAATGTATTTGCCTTAGGAATGAGAAGTGAATGGTTCGCAGTGAAACGTGAACTTGGAAGCACGCGCAGCCGCGTAAGTGTATGTGTACATAATATTTATAAACGTATATAGTCTGCAGTAAATTCAGGCTAATGTAAATCTAAAAATACTGCTCATTTTTTTTTTTATGAACTTACCAACCTTCCGATCTTAACACTGTCTCCAACCTAGGACGTCTCTTTTTATTGTTTTTTTTACGTCTTAATTGTTATACGTGAATACAATAAGGCAACAGTTTACACCTAAATAAATAAACGTTAAACGTTGTAAGTAAGAGAAGAAAGAAGACGTTAATTTACAATTCTTCTAAGCTACATTACGGATCCGTCGCTAGTACATCTATATTGTTTACTACGTATCGTCTGTACCCGTGTACAGATAGCGCCACTCATTCGCGTTGCGAGAGACAATATGGCTGCCTCCTATTCCCATAATCCTCATTTCCCACAATTTCCTCAATACATTAAATTTCTAAAATCTATGCTGACGAATTTTGTTACAATTCTACGAGTAACGAATTTATTTGCATTCTTTAATACTCGAAAATGTCTTATTAAAATTAATAGTATTGTATTTGTTACGCCATTATCGCAAGGATATCTCGTCGTAAAGTAACCCTATGAAATACTTTTGAATAATTATTTACCATTCTCAATTTTTATAATAATGTAGGTTCACTGTAATCAATTATAAGTTTCTGACTAATCGCATTAATTCCATTAAAAATTCCACTCATATATTTAGCGATTTTATAAAACATTTTAAATTGTAACAAAATCGTTCATATGTTAATTACCGAATCGTCCAATTGTCGATCGTACATGTTAACTTTTAATTCGTTAAAATTAAAGTAACACGATGCCTTTAAGAATGGAAAAAGGGAAACCATATTCTTCGCTTGCAATACGAACCTGTGGATCAAACTGTACACGCGTGTCTATGAGTACGTTCATCTTCGTATGAAATATGAATGTATATTACGTGTGCGGAGCCCAGAACTTTGGTCCTGCACGTAGACGCTAGCAAAAATATAATTTAGTATATTTATCATTATAATTCATTCATATAAAAACTTCGTTAAAATATATAAAAGAAACAACGATTTGAGCAAATACGTATCTCCTATCATAGTTAAAAGTACCGTGTCGAAACGTTCCTTTATTGCACATCAATTTTCGCTAATAAAGTGTTGTCTCTTTTTCATCGATCTCACTCTCTCCCTCTCTCCCTCTCGCTCCCTCTCACTCTCTCTCTCTCATACAGATATACACGCAGACTCACTTCCTCTCATGCGATCGTACGGTCTTCCATCTCTCCACGCGCAAATAACAATTATTTTATACATACTCTATTATTTACGCTTATTTATTCCACCACTCTCATCTTGATCGTTTCTGTTACTGTATGTCGTTGTTGGGTTTGCGGATTTACTCGAATTCCCCGCTGTTTATTCATCGACCGATGATTTGTACGAATATTCTGGTTATCACTATATAACCATTAATCGTTTAATTGATTCCACGAAACAAACAATTTGAAATAATAATCCGTTGCAAGCTACGATTAAACGAAATAAAAAAAGTAACTGAAATCAGTTGCATCAGGTTAATGTTATTTCATAACATTGAAATGTAAATTAAAGGTTCCTGAACCGAAATATTATGCTGCCATAGGCACTGGCAAACTAAAAACATTTAGTGTTATATTGAACTTGAAATACTTTATACAATTTAATATCAAATAAAGTATTCATATTCTATTTCGTGCAAATCATTGCATTCATCAAAGGAAAATAAAACTTTCATATGTTATATAATTATTTGAAGCTTCATAAAAAAGAGAGAACATCGAAGAGAAGTGTCTAATAAAAAATGAACAAACTTTTAGCTCTCAGTATTGAAAAAATTCGAACAATTCGCAGCAAAATCGCATTTAAAGCTACAGGGATGAGAATTACCGTCGCGAAGCGAATTCAGAACGAGCTGTGCGGCTCGTCGAAAACGACAAATCACCGGATCAATCGAGTTTCTCTACGAAAGGCCAGCCTCTGGAAGACTTTTTTCATGGATAGGCACTCGTTTCGTTGATCTTCGAAATATTTTCTCTGTAATCGATAAATTTTCTCTAGTCCACTCTAGTTCCTCTAGTCGCCTATAAATTTCCCTCTACTCTAAAATTCCCTATTCGCTCTGAACCGTTCATTAATTTCTCAATTAATTTATCTGAACACGCCTAATGCTCGGCGAACGCGCAATTTCGCTCGGCCGATGGTTGCTCATTAGAAGGATTCGAAACAAGCGCGTTCGGATTTCTTGACCCGAGCCCGAGGAGCCAATTAATTCGTTTATTACACAGTACCAGCTTCTTTGTGCTCATCGCGTGTCTATTTCTAATTCGTACCCGGATTCCGCGGGTAACGCAGGATCGTTAACACTTGTTAGTTACCCTCCGCTTCCTCTGCAGGAGAAAAAAAAAGAGAACCGAGGAAAGCCCGTCTAGCCGAGATCCAGGAGCTAGATCGACGATCGCAGGTCGCTTGGAGCACCATCTGAACAATCTCGAAGCAACCTGCCACCGCGGTCAGCTCCGAACAAATCTAAATCGGGTAAGCACTTCAGCCTTAGGCACCAGGTGTCGGTATCCCCAGATCATCTACGTCGCTACGTCCAAGAATTACAAGCTATCGATAATAGATCTCACGACAAGACGTCGATGTCTCTAGCAATTAAGCACTTCTCCAGGTCCAGCATCCTTGATCACCGCTCGAATCCCTCCGGATAAGAAGTTCCCTTGATCACAGAGGATACCCAAGCGAAACTGTACTTCATCCCTAGAATGAAGTGTCATACGAAATCCAGTTCAGTGTTACGATACAATACACCGACAAGCTTTCGTCAACGATAAAAACGGATCCTTCGTTTCTCCAGGTACACGTTTGCAAAACTCGAAAGATCCCATTCACCAACGTTTCACCGCGTGAACGTTCACCGAGTCCTCGGTTGCTTCAACACTTAGAGTCTAAAAAGAGTCGATGGAGGATTAAAGGCGGAGCCTCCGTGAGCAACAGTCCGCGTGGTTTGCTTCCGCGGGCTGCGTCACTGCTTAATGGGCTTCTTGAAGACGACTTCCGGCTTGCGTACGGGACGAGGTACGCGCCGTTCTATCCTTAGGGCCCTGTTCGGGTCCGGCGAGGGCGCGGATGCGCCCTCCAGACCCGCCGGAGTCTCCGCCATTGTTTGTCAGTTCCCCGTGCTGCTCGGTCGTCTGCCGGGCATCTGTTGCTGTTGCTGCTGGGATGCGGCGGCGACCGCTGCCGCGGCGTTCAACGCCGGCAAAGGTGTCTGGTGACAGTGCGCGCAGTGCAGGCACACCGTGCACGCGCCCAGCTTGCGGGCCAGTAGCGCGCGTAGCTTCAAGGCTGGGCCTAGCTTCATCCCCATCGGGCCTGTCAGGTGGTCCTCTGATAACAGGGGCAACGCTGCGCCGTCGATGCGGTGCTCCCGGAAATTCTGAAAGAGAAAGATGCTGGTTAGGGTATATATTGGTTCTTTGAACGGCTGAATCTAAAATTTGAAGTTTTCAAGGTACTTCGTTGATAACTGATTTAACACTTTGCCAACCGAACGGGGAATTCCCCCACTTTGAAGTAAATCTACGGCGCGCGGTTGGCAGTGTTACTTGAAATTGACTGGACTGTAAGGATCTAGAGATGTTGAGTTAAATGAGAGATCGTATATTTGGTTCTTACGTAGTTTCGTAATAGTGGTTTGATATTTATAAAACTGCATGGTTCATTTCGATGGATGATTTACCGAGGTTACTAAATATATTTAGTTCTTTACGTAGAGTGTAGGTTTTTCTATTTTATAAATGTTTGGAGGGTATCCTAGCTCATAGAGTTTCCGTATATAAAGTATGAAATGATCAAAACTGATTAACATCCTAAAAGTCCAAAGATCTTCCGCTAAAACCTTCATACTAATCCAGTTACAATCACCCAAGATCTGGACACCAAGAGTTCCATAATACACGCAACTAAATATTCACAACAAAATCAAAACCACGGGTACTCAAAAAATCCCCGGTTCAAAGGTGAAAGACCCCGCACCCTGACTCTCAACGCCGTCCTCTCCAAACAAGCCCAGAGAATGACACCCACGCGTCCCCGGCGAAACATTAACAATCCAGCCATTCCAGAATACCTCGCGGCGACCCTTAACCCGCTGGAAACGATCGCGAAGGTCGCGTATCACGTCGAGGAAACTCCTCGCCGCGTCGCGGCGCGCAACAAGGTGCATTCCCAACGACGTGGAACGCCGCGCGCGCGGCGCTCGCTCATTAAACCTCTGGTTCCGCAGAAACTCCGTCTCGAGCCGGTCGGATGGAATCAGATCGCCTCGCCGGCCGCGGAATGGAACAGAGGAGCGAAGGGGGAAGAGGAAACGA